GATTATAAAGATTATGACCCACCTAGAGAACCACCATGTCATCGTTGGACCAGATTTATTTCACTTATCCTTATTTAAAAAGAAGAGTACATTAATTCTTATCAATAAATAGAGGGGGCAAGCTTAAATAATTTTTGAGAAATTTTAAAAAAACTTTTTAAAAATTATTTTAGCGGACAAATTTGTCCGCTAGACGGTTTAAGGGATAGTTGAAAAAGGTTGCAAGATCGATGAATTCAATAATGCCTATATATTTGGAGCCGTATTAGATTTGATAAAGAGAAAATGTGAGAAAACTAACACTAGTTGGTTATCAGCAAGTAAGATAGAAACATTTGGAATCAACTAATAAAGAGCGTCTATCATCTCAAGCAATATATTTTAAGCAATTCTGTAAATATGATACTTGCTGTATGGGTTGATTATGGTTTTAGAAATTGTCGCACAAAAGATGAGGAAAAACAACTTAAAAATATGTATAAAAAATTGCTCTTTGCACCTCAATTTGATGCAATTAGTTTACACAAGGCCTGCATAGCAGGAAAAATTTTGAATATGTTAGCTCTATTCTTCCTAATGATGTGTTAAGAGTTGATCTTTTGAGAAATCCGTATCCTTTAAAAGAATATTAGGAAATTTTGATAGATTTCATATTGTATTATACTGTTATTTTGGCTATTACAAATATTAGCAATATAGTTAATATACCTGCTTTGAACATTTTTATATTCTTATCATTACTTTGACTTTGATTAGTGCATAATCTCTATACATACATATACATATATATTAAATAAACAATTATTTGTTTATAAACAATGTGTCTGCACAAGTTTATATACTGCAACCTAAAATTCTTTTCATAAAATATTTTCTCTCACTCGAGTTAAAAAATTCGCTAACTGTCAAACTATTATTGAGTATATCAAATATATAAAAAAACATGTAATTCACAATCTTTTGTGTTTAATTTAAAATAAAGCTATTTAGCTCTTAGCAAGCTAAGATTATATTTGTTATAACGATAAAAACATAAATCAACTTGACTTCTTAATATAAAGAGTATTAAAATTCAACACCCTTTTGAAATTCCACCAGTGAAATTTATAAAAATTTTGATCCAATCGATTTTTTTAAACTTTTATGCATTTCATTTAAAACCTTTTTGAACAAAAAATTTAATTATCAATATACTGTTTTAATTTTTAATTCTAAATTTATTTCTACTGTCAACAAATTATTTCGTTAATAAAGATCGCGTTTACAAGTTTATACAAGTTCATTTGAACCGTTATTTAAATTATTAAGATATTTATCTTTTTACGTATAACTCAATTAGATTCAAATCAATTATTATTTTGTATAAATAATGCATAAATTTGAATAAAGATTTCATTCATAAATATATATAAAATTTCTTTTATTTATAATTACATTTTCAAAATACAGTACCTTCGATCCTGCAACTTATAACTACGTACATTACTACTTCATTAAATATAGTAATTGATTTGCACAATATAGATATACTACAATACAACTATCTCTCATACTTTGTACCATTTTACGAGTTAGGATAGTGACGTAAGTTGACAACAAGTCGATTAAAAAAAAATTTAATTTAAACTGTTTTGTTAGAATTTTTCTCAATATCGCTTTCTTTATTTTCTTGTTGCCTACGTGGATTTATTAATTTTCCATATACAAAATTTGCAGGACCTGAGCAACACAAAAATGGATAGATGAGGTATGGTAATAAACCTGGAGATTTTTTACCATACAAGAACAAATAAATAGTAATGAAGAATGCGTTTGCACCACCTAGTGAAGTAAAGAAGGTGAGAATATTGAATTGGGATGCTTTACTAAAAAACAGGACAAAGAGATGTTTATTAGTACGTATATGACTTAGTTAAAATTTGATATTATGAAATTTGTTAAGTTGAAGTAAATGTTTGCTGATATTTTGTTGTGATGTTTTTGATTCTTTGTCAGTATTTTATAAATACTTTATCAGTACTTTATCAGTATTTATAAATACTTTATAAATACTTTATCAGTATTTACAAATACTTTATAAATACTTTATAAATACTTTATCAGTATTCATAAATACTTTATAAATACTTTATCAATATTTACAAATGCTTTATAAATACTTTATCGGTATTTATAAATACTTTATAAATACTTTATCAGTATTTTACCAGTATTTATAAATACTTTATAAATACTTTATCAGCGGCAAGAATAAATAAAGACTTACTCTGTTTCCTTATAAGTAATTAAAGTTGAAGATTGATTATATACTTCAAGCGTAGTTGCAAATTGTGACGGATTAATGACCTGAGGATTTAATGGGCTAAGCGTTTCTGTTTATAAAATAAAACAAATTACATAAATGTTTATAAATATGTTTTAAAATCGATATCCAGAATTAACATTTATTAGAATCAGGTTTTTAGTAGCATAATATGTGGATCTTAAAACTATTTAATAAATCCGCAAATATAGTATGTATGATAAACTATTTTCTTTGCTTACGGATTCTTGTCGTGAGATCAAAATAATTAAACACATGCTCAGATGATGTTCTTGCAACTGATAAAACACCTTTCTTTAAAGAACTTCCAAGATCTGAATATTTAACTCGATCTAACCATATAACTTGCCTCTACACAAATTAATATTTATAGATGCCAAAAGTAAAAATAAAATTAGGTTTAGTAAAACTTAGTTTTTTTTTGTGTAATTAATTTTCTTTTTTATAATTACCTGGTATGGCGAAAGAACATATATATTAGTACCTTCAGATAAAAGTTCGGAAAGTTTTGTGTCTGCGTGTTTATTTTCGCTAGTAATTATATCTGGATCCATAAGCTGTATTACTGGGTATGATTGCAAGGTTGGTAATGTATCATTTGACAATGAATTATTAGCGGAAATTTGGAAATAAACACCAACGGGCAAATTCAAAACAGTTCCGTCAGTAAAATTGACATCAGGATCATAGTAAGCATAAACAATCAAAGTGGTGGATGGATCACTTTCATTAAGTATTTTATTACTACAGGAAGTGTCAGGGACAACAGTGGCTATAAATTTTGAAGACAGAATTAATGAAACAATGAAATGAATATAAATACTAAATTTTATTAAGACTACTTACGATATAAGTAAGAACAGCTAACACTAATGTTAGAA